ATACAAGTGTGTGTTGAACCTAAAGCACTGTTTGATACGGTTCGATACGGGTACATGTGTTGTTGCACCCCTAGTATATATAATAAATATAAAATAAATATAATTCATTGTCTAACTTTAACTAAAGAGGAACCATTTTGCTTTTTTCACATTATATGCAGGTAAGAATAATGTCGAATCTAATTGTGTAACATTTTTCAGCCTTCAACACAAAAAGAAACTCATGATCTGTTAAACAATGTCAGTGTTGACCCTGAATAAAAGCTCACCCTGAGGATCTCTCTGGAGATGTAAGCAATCCAGTCCTCCTTCAGCGAGTTGCCTTTGGTGTTTTTCACCAGATCTGTGATGGAGCCGGCACCGCAGAACTCCATCACCAGCTGCACCAGGCAAGAAAACACATAAACACTCCTCATCTGCCAAATGTGCTCCACATGGACCTCTGACAGAAGCTGCAGTCCAGTCCACGTCTCAGTGAGACCCACTATGTTTCCATACATGACAGGTACAGTGAGCTCACCCAGAGCTGGTCATCATGACCCGGTGGACTTTTCTTGATGAAGGCGCCGTAGTATGTGGCGATGTTTCTGTGGTGGGAATACTTCTTCAGCATGTTGATTTCCAGCTTAATTTCCTCCTCTTCATCCTGTGAAAAACACAGAAAATCCTGTTATTGTAAAGTTCGGTCACTGTTGTTCCTTGAAATAATGTCACTGCTAATGAACCAAAAGAAACATGCTTCCTTTAATGAAGCTCTTCAAGGAGCCAACAAAAGAAATGGGTAATTAGTAGGAAAACACTAAAAACTGAACTACTTTTTTTATAAAATGAAAATTCTTTTTCACTTTATTTTATGTTCAAGTTTTCCATTTCAATCAGTTTTTCAAACACTTCTATGAAAAGCTCAAATTGAACAACAGTGTTTCATAAATCAAACTGCAGTAAAAGTCTCAGACGAGCAAAAAGGCAAAAATTGTTTCACAATAATTCAGTTATCTAATTAATATTTTGCGGCTTTTAATTATTTACAGACAAAAGTATTAAAGTATTTGTATTGTGTTGGGCAGAGTCTTAATTATTTCTAATGTAGTAAAAGAGTTGAACATTTAAAGTTAAAAGTTACGTCTGATTGTTAAAACTGAGTTTAACAGAAACTGTGTAGTTATGTAGTTTTCAGAAACACATTTGTCTGATGTGTTCACATGTTTCAGTCTGTTTAATGAGAAACAACTAACTCAAACATMAAAGTCTGTTTGTTTCTCAGTGAAAACTAAACTGTAAAGAAAACTAGACATGGGTTTTTACGATGTAAAAACAAGGGTGCACTGCCATGTAGCATGTCATTGCAGCATTGGACTTGCAGAATGAAGTGTGACCAAGTTCAAATGTGTTTTCTAATTATTATCAGTCAAACACCTGCCAAGTCAGCAGGTGTTTGTAATGAGGGTAATTATGTGACAATATAACAATCTGAAATTATGTAGCTTTACTGAAACAGTTTGTTCATAGCTGGGATTGAACCCTGATCTCCTGAATGAAATCCCACAGTGTTCACCATGAGACTACAGGAGCTGCACCAGGAGACAATCCCAGGGCTTGGATTGTATGTATGCAGAAAGAGGCCACATTGCCAATACAATTATTAACACTAAACTGCATAATATTACAAAAACAGAGCAGTATTAAGACATTATAGTAAAACATCAAAATAAACTCATTTTAGTACTGTAAACACTGAACTACTGAGTTGAAATATTAAACTATGGTGCAGTACCAAGTTGAGTACAGCAGGGGGCAGTATTGGACCAATA